CACTTATTTTACAAACTTTCATATGGTTTTTTTAAAATAGCTTTTAGAGTAGAATGATGTTTATATATTTTGCTTAATAGATTTGCTTTATGTTTTTCTTATTATGCCTGGATAGCTTTCCTTGAGGGTTTAAAATTTACTGACATTCTTTACAAAAGAAATTTAAATGTGTATCTAATTTGTGTATTTTGTACTAGAGCTGAAGAAACTCATAATTATATTTTTTTTAATGTGAGTTAACCTTCTTTTATTATTTCAGAATTGATTCCTAATTTGAAGTACTTCATTCTTTGTCCCACTATTATGCAAATCTTTGACTTTATTTATGCTTAAGATTTGGCTTAGGATGCTACATATTTGTTCTTCCTTGTTGCTTGTTGTACTTTATATGTTTTGTGGAGAGAAAGGAATAAGAGGAGATTTGCAGGTCAGCTGAAAAGCTTTGTTTTGATTTGTAGGAAGATAAAACAAGCTATGTTTGCTAAGATTTCTTCTTGAAAATCTTATCATAAGATTAAATTTTTAATTCCTTAAATCCTTGGTTTTGTTCATGGTTGGTTGGGGTTTTGGGTTTGGTGTTTGTTTTGTTATTATTTTTTTTTATTTTCTTCATGAGTGTTGGTATGGCTTTTTGCGGTTGTAGTTTCTATTTCTTTGTCTTGTTTTATTTTTGTTTAGTTTTAACGTGTTTCTTGTGGTCCTATTTTTTGGGTTGGTCTTGGTGTTATGGTTGGTGACTTGTTTCTCCTTGACTGCTTTATTGTTGGTTGTTGTGGCTGTGGTTACCTCTGCTCTCTAGTTTACTGAGTTCTTATTTTGGGAAATTTGATGTGTTGGTAATTGATTAATTTCCAGATTCTTGGATGGCTGTTTGGCAACCAATTTTCTCTGGATGGTCATTTTTAGCAATCACGAATTTTTTGATCCTTGGATGGATGATTTGGCAACCGATCTTATTGGGATGTCCATTTATAGCAATCAAGGATTTTTTTTATTGTTATTTTTTTTTCTCTTGTATCGACTTGATTGGCAACCAACTTAGGCTTTGGATAGCCGACTCTTGAATTTCGGAGGAGTATTCTTTCCTTCTTTGAGGATTTGGATGAAATTTAACCTTCATAAGTCCCTTTTGCAGGGGTTTATTCTTATTTTTATTTCCTATTAATTTTTTATGTGTTTTGGTTGGAAATCTCTTATCTTCATTCCGGTGAATTTTTGATGTCTTGTTCTCTTCTTCATCACCTTAGTTGGAGGGGTTAGATTTATGATGTCTATTTTTGGTACTGATTTTTGCTTCTTTAAAGGCAGGTAGGAGTTCTTCCTTTTGTTGGTAGCTTTTTGGCATACCTAAGGTTGTGCTGGATGCACGTTTTGAAGGTTGGAGTAATTCCTTTTGTTGGAGGCTTTGTGGCTAGGCTCATGCTGGGTGCTGGTTTTGGATTGTTTCATGCAAGCTTTTTTGGAGATTAGAGCTTGGAATCTTGAAGGCCTATGGTTCTTAGTGTTCTCTCTTTAAAGTCTAGATGGGTGTTCAATATATGTGTCCATTTGGACAATGAATACATGTTTGTTGCTATATTCTTGAAAGAGTTCTTGGAATTCTAGTTTTTATTATTGATTAGGCTGGTCCTTAGCTTGATGCATTTGCTTTCAAGCTTGATAGATTAGGATTTTTTTCCAACAACTGTAAGTGTTTTATTGTTTTTCATACCTTTGTTGTAATTTTTTAATTTGTAATTTGGGCATGATTGCCCCTATTTTTTCCCCAAAAAAAGAGTACTTCTAATAATAATGTTATTTTTCAATCAATTATTCATGTACTTTCTAAATTTCATTTGTCACTGAAATGCCTTGTTAGTGTAAAAATCTAGCAAATATCTTATTTTTTTTAAAACACATATTACAATCATTGCTTTTCACTCATTTTGTCCATTTTATACTATTTTTATGAAAATTAATTTTAATACACTTTTAGTTCTTTTTTTTATATATATATGTTGTTTCAATCCAACTAATTTTCATTATATCATGCTTCAAAGACTTATGATTTAAACTCCAAACTCTAAAGTTAGATTAAGGCTTCGTTTGGGGCGGCTTTCTTTCTGCTTCTAATAGCCGCTTTGTAGTGCAAAAATTTTAATTTTTGTACTAAAAAGCTGCTTTAAGAAGCAGTAAAAAAGCTGTCCCAAACAGAACCTAAACTATCAAATAAACCCCACATTACCAAAGCACTAATATTAGTTTGATACTCTATAGGCTGTCCTACTTCCATGGAGTCGAATAAATAACTTTTAATGAATCTAATAATATATATGATTTCATATAATGGTATTACGCATCATATTGTATGCTAAAAATTTATATCATTTCTTGTCTTTCATTATAAGCGCTGATCAAGATTTCCTACAATTTTTTTTTTGTTCTTACTAATTTCTTGCGCATGAATTATGCATACGATAACTTATTATTTTTTTATAAATAAAAATTGATGCTGGCATTTAACTAACATTATTTCATAACTAGTTGTTTTTTAGGTTTCAAATAATACATGCTTTAACCTTATATCAATAATAAAAATATTTATTTATTTATTAATTATAGGCATTGCATTATGAGAATTTAATTTGAAATGCAATTATTTATCACAATCATAATAATTTAATTTATATTTGTTCATTTTTTTAAGATTCTAATTATGTGCATAACACACCTCACCTTGATCTGTTGGTTGGAAGCTTAAGCTACCAACCAAGAGGTCCTGAGTTCGAATCTTATGTATGTGATGTGAGCATGAGTCTGACTTAATTGATCTAAATAATCCAAAAAAAATTATGTGCATAAAAATGTTAAGACCCTAATAATAGCATGTATTAGATTTGGATTCATGTCGGGTAGGTCTACCATGGAAGCCATGTATTTATTGAGAGGTTTAATGGAGAAATATAGAGAGAATAAGGAGGATCTACATATGATATTTATTAATTTAGAGAAAGCATATGATAAAGTTCCAAGAGAAGTGCTATGAAGAGTTCTTGAAAAGAAATGAGTTAATAATGCTTATATTCAAATCATTAAAGATTATATGCAGGAGTTATTATTGGTGTTCAAGCACAAGGTGGTTTGATCAAGCATTTTTCTATTTCGGTTGGATTACATCAAGGATCAACCTTAAGTCCATATCTTTTTGCTTTAGTCATGGATGTTCTCACTAGACATTTGGAAGAGGATGTACCTTGGTGTATGCTTTGTGCTAATGATATTCTTCTTGTTGATAAGACTAGAGAGGGAGTTAAAGGTAAACTTAAATTATGGAGGTCAACTTTAGAGTCTAAAGGTTTTCGTTTGAGTAGATCTAAAATTGAATATATGGAGTGTACTTTAGTAGCAATAGACCTAGTGAGAGGATTGTGACTTTGGGCGATCAAGTTATTAATAAGAGTATACGTTTTAGATGTTTTGGATCTATTGTTCAGAGTGATGGTGAAATTGATGGGGATATTATCAGCATAATTCATGTTGGATGGTTGAAGTGGAGGAATGCATCAGGCTTATTGTGCGATAGAAATGTCCCTCTCAAACTTAAGAGAAAATTCTATAAGATGGTGGTGAGACCTGCAATGCTTTATGGTGCCGAATGTTGGCCATTAAAAGAGAAGCATAATACTACGTTAAGTGTAGCAGAGATGAGGATGCTTAGGTGGATGAGTGGCTTGACCCTTAGAGATATGATACAAAATGAGCATATATGTGAAAAGGTTGGAGTAGCTCGAGTGGAAGATAAGATTAGAGAGAGTCCCCTTAAATGGTTTGATCACATTAAATGTAGGCCTTCCGATGATCCGGTTAGGAAAGTTGAGGTATTGGATTTGATTTTTGTTAAGAAAGATAGAGATAGACCTAAAAAGACTTGGTTAGAAAATATTAGAAATGATATTTCTTTATTAGATTTAAATGAGAATTTGACTTTTAACCAAACATAATGGCAAAAAAAGATTCATGTAGCCGACCCCACTTAGTAGGACAAGGACTTGTTGTTGTTGTAATAATAACATGTATTTTATGCGTGCGTATTTAAACTAGAAATTAAAGAATAAGGAAAAATAGAGTAGCGGATGGTTTAAAGATAGACTAGAATTTAATAAAAGAAAAAGAAAAAAAAGATAGACTAGAATTTAATTTCAATGAAGCGCAAGCTTGTAAATCTATAGTTAATTTATATACTTAGCGTCACGTAGGGGTGCAAACGACTCGAGTTGAGTTTAGGCTTTTATCGAGCTCAGCTCGTTACATGGAAAGCGAGCTCGAACTCGAGCTCATTTCACTGTAAACGAGCTTGAGCCGGCTCGTCAGCCATGGGTGGGAATTTTTTAAATTTAAGCAGGATTTTTAAAAATTTTAAAAATTAGACGGGATTTTTAAAACTTAGATAAATTTTAAAAAAAATGAAAGTTTAACATTTAAATAAATTTTAGGTGATTATTATGATTATTTTTAATATTTAAATTTAATAAATAAAATAAAATTATTCTAAAAATATAAAAATTTATTCGAGCCGGCTCGCGAGGTCACGAGCTGAGCCGGCTCAAGATCGAACTCGAGCTCGTCTACTAAATGAGCTCGTTTACTAAACGAGCTCGACTCACGAGCTTCATAAGATTAGCTCGCGAGTCCATAACGAGTTGAGCTAGAGCTCGAGCTGCTCCTAGCTCACTTAGACTATTTTTTTGGGACATTTAGGCCATTTAAGTCAAACTCATACACACAACGCATACACAAAGACTCGAACCCAAGACCTCTTAGTTGGAAGCATAATCTCTCAACCATAGCTGTGTGTAGCTCACTTAGACCGCGTCACGAGACTTTGAGAAAAAAATATTTTAAAAATAAATCAACGAAAGGCTTGCATTTGTCCTCACGGGAGATTCCTCAGCCTCCAACACTGTATTGCCCGATATTCCAGGCTTCCAGCGCATCATCTCCGCCCTCTTCCACTTCCGATCATGCGAGCCGCCGCCGCTGTGGCAGCAGCAGCCTTTCACTTCTTTCCGTCGTCAGGTCTAGGCGTCAACCGGCGGCGCCGGTCTCCCCTACTTCGTCATCTCAGCATTATATCCTCTGTAAGTTTTTGCGTCGATCTCTTCCCTTTTTTTTTTTCGTTTCTTCAAATAATCTATGGAAACCGTAATGCTTTGTTTAGATTAAAAAAGAGTGAAGTAAATGAAATGAAATGAAATTCAGCTAATTAGGAGTTTTATTATGAATTTGCGGCCATTCATTTGAGTTATTTAACCTTTTTTTTTTTAATTTCCTTTCACTCGATCTCCCAGCATCCAAACGCAACCTATTGGACGTCTTGGATTATTAATAAATGAGCTATGGCAGAAGCCAATCCCGTTACTGTACACAAATGTTATGCTTGTTTCTTGAAGTTCATTTTTTTTAAAATACTTTGCCGAAACTTCAAAATCCAAAAGGGAAAACAACAACCGCAAGAATAAAAGAGTTTAACGTGGTTTAGCAATTTGCTTACATCAACGGGAAGCAACAATCTCACTATAAACTTGGAAAAAAAAAAGTCATAACTTTTCTGAGTATTCTCACACATATACAAAAGCTATTGCAAGTTGAGAGATTATTGGCAGGATGATCTAGAAGTGGTGATTATATGAATTTATATAGGAAAGTGTTCAACCCCCACCACCATGCATGACTTTCGTGATAAACTCCATTTAAAATTTTTGTAGTAGCCTCAAATATAAACTGTTTTGGAATGAGATAACCATTCAAAAACTCCATTTTAAACTCTTTTAGCTATGTGAGAGAAAATGAGAGAACCATGCAAAACTCAATATTGAGCGAAATATATGGGTAAAAAAAAAGTGAAATATATGGGTAAAAGTTTTCTCAGGATCTGAGCTAACGTGGCATTAGATGTTAGATAGTTGGGATGCTTGCCCAAGTGACCTAATACAAGGGAGAATCGTCACTAGCAGATTGAGGATCTTGGCTTAAACTAGTTATGAGAGAGGATGTGGGGGTGGCCGATTGATAGGACTATAGGAGCAGGGGCAGATCCAGCTTCTTTTTTCAGGGTGGGCAAAATTTTAACTAATTAGACAATAACAACAATAATAACAAAATAAAAATAAAAAGTAAAATCATAAATTAATTAAAAATAATTGGATTTCAATGCAATGCAATAAAGGATGATTTAAAAAATAGCGAAAAAAGACTTATTTGTATAGAAATTATAATTTTTTTCTCTTATTTCTTAGAATTCTTTTTATAACCAACTTATAAATAATAAGACACTTTTTTTTCCATTGAATAAAGTTTCACTCTTACTTTATACAAATTAGAATGTAAGTACATTATCTTTTTATAGTGTATTCAACCAATGCTTCTTCCTCTCCCTAAATGATGGGCAAAATAATTTTCTTAGGGTGGTCAAAATTCCAAATTAACCTTAATATAGACCTTTTTTTTAGGGTGCACCCTGGACTATATGGGGATCCACCCATTTATAGGAGAGAGATTATAAGAGTCTTCTATTTATAAAAATAAAAGTCATAACAAGTAATTATTTAAAGAGAAAAGGACCAAAATGGTCCCTCAACTCTTTGTCAGGGATCAAAATAGTCTCCAACTCTTTTGAGGGATCAATTTGGTCTCTCAACTACTTAAAAAAGTTTTTTTTAGTCATAACATTACATTTTGGGATTAATGATATTAAATAAATGGTATTTTGATCATTTTTAATTAAATTATTTATTAAATATAATTTTCATGTAATAGTATTTAAAAAAATTATTAAACATATTTTTAATAAAAAAATTATTTATAATTCTAGTCTATAATGATACTAAATTAAAACTAGAATTATTAATAACTTTTTTATTAAAGAAATGTTTAATAATTTGTTTTTTAAAAAAATTATTATAACTTCAAAAATTATATTTAATAAATAATTTAATTAAAAACTGACTAAAATACTCATTGATTTAACACCATTAACTCTAAAATTTGATGTTATGACGGAAAAGCTCATTTTTATGGAGTTGAGGGACTAAATTGGTACCTAAAAAAAGTTGGGGATCATTTTGGCCCCTCACAAAGAGTGATGAACCATTTTGTTCTCTTTCTCGTTATTTAAATGATAACAAATATAACCACAAATAGTTTCTAATGTATACAAATAAGGATAATTGTCCAAAACCTTAATAATATTAAAAATACTAATAAAATTTTCTAAATAATCTAAATAGTCCCAAATACAATATGTGAATATCCAAAGCTAATTAATTGCATCTTATGAAATTTCTTAATACTGAAAGCTTAGTTTCATCTCATTGAAATTATTAGGATCATTTGGAAGGCTCCTTAGGCTTCTCGAAGCTTATGTAGAGTTCCAGAAGCTTCTTAAACATGCATAATCTAAAATGAATCAAATCATAAATAGGTTGATCTTTACCAAAGGGCCTTGACACAAGTAACAACATCATAGAATATTTTAGTGCACACCCAAAGTTGTACAACCTTCTTAGAAATTATGGCAATGATGATTCTTTGTTTGATAAAATCCCATACAACAACAACTAAAACAACAACAAGCCTTTATCCCACTATGTTGGGTCGGCTACATGAATCTTTTTTTTTTTCCATTGTGCCATATTAAAAGTTAAAATCTCATTTAAATCTGATAAAGAAATGTCATTTCTAATTTTTTCCAACCAATTCTTTTTAGGTCTACATTTACCTTTCTTAACATAAGTCAAATCTAATACACTAATTTCCTAACCGATTCAACGGAAGGCCATCATTTTATGAGACCAAACCATCTAAGGCTACTCTCTCCAATCTTATCGTCTACCGGAGCTACTCCAACCTTTTCACGTATTATGTATCCTGTCTCTAAGAGTAAAATCACTCATCCACCTGAGCACCCTCATCTCTGGCTCTCTGCAACACTTAGCTTAATATTATGCTTCTCTTTTAATGGCCAACATTTTGTACCATAAAGTATTGCATGTCTAACCCCATTCTTATATAATTTTCCCATAAATTTGAAGTGGACTTTTCTATATCACAACAAGCCCGATGCATCCTCCACTTTAACCATCCAACTTGAATTTTACTAATAATATCGTTATCTATTTCACTTTTACTCTGAACAATAGACCCAAGATATCTAAAATGTGTACTCTTATTAAAAACTTGATCACCCAAAGTCACAATCGTCCAACTAGAACTATTATTACTAAAATTACACTCCATATATTCAGTTTTAGATGTACTTAAACGAAAGTCTTTAGACTCTAAGGTTGACATCCATAATTCAAGTTTATCTTTAACTTCTTGTCTAGTCTTATTAATAAGAAGAATATCATCAGTAAAAAGCATACACCAGGGTACAACCTCTTGCAATTGTCAAATGAGAACATGCATGACTAAATCAAAAAGATATGGGCTTAAGGCTGATCCTTGATGTAATTCAACTGAAATAAGAAAATACTTTGTCAAATCACATTGTGTCTACAAGCTACAACTCCTGCATACATATCCTTAATGACTTGAATATAAGCATTATTAACCCCTTTCTTTTCTAAAACTCTTCATAGCACTTCTCTTTGAACTTTATAATATGCTTTCTCTAAATTATTAAATATCATATGTAGATCATCCTTATTCTCTCTAAACTTCTCCATTAAACCTCTCAATAAATATATAGCTTCCATAATTGACCTACCGTCATGAATCCAATTAATTTTGAGAAACATTAGTATCACGCCACAACCTATGCTCCATAACTCTCTCCCATAGTTTTAAAGTATGACACATTAACTTAATTCCTCTATAATTCGCACAATCTTGTACATCACATTTATTCTTTAAAATAAGAATCAACACACTTGTTCTCTACTCATTTGGAATCTTTTTGGTCTTCAAAATAATGTTAATGATTTTAATAAGCCAAAAAATTCATTCATCTCCTAAGCATTTTCATACCTCTATTGGAATATAATTAGGTCCAACAGCTTTTCCATATTTTATTTTCTTTAAAGCCTCTCTAACTTTGATTTACTTATACGCCTATAAAAATATTTTTTTTTTTTTTTTTTAATTTAGGATGTTAAGGTCACTAAAGTCAATCATATTCTCATAATCTTCATTGAAGAGTTTATAAAAATATCTCATCCACATTTATTGAATATCCTCTTCTAATAAAAACATTTTTTGATCTTTGTGCTTAATACACTTCACTCGAACCAAATCCTTACTATTATCTTTTTGTTTGGCTAACTTATACACATATCTTTCGTCCTCTTTAGTATCTAATTTATTATATAAATTATTAAAAGCTAAAATCTTTGCATCACATATTGCTTTCTTAGACTCCTTATGGGTCACTTTATATCTTTCTCAATTATCACAATTTTTATAACAATTTTCTTTTTGCAACGTTTGATTCCATTACCAACTATTTTTACTATTAAAAGATTTTTCATTTGATACTCCAAACACATCTTTTGTAACATTCTTAATATCACTAGCTACTTTTTTCCACATAATATTAGCTTCCTCATGCACAAAGAAAATCTTAAGATCTAATATCTCACTCTCAAAAATATTTTTGTTAATATTCTTTAAATGCCCCCATCTAATTCTAAAATAATATTTTACTTTATTTTTTATTTTCTGCCTTTTCATCTTAAATTCCAAAACTAATAAGCGATGTTGGGTGCATAAAATTTCACTTGGAATAACTCTACAATAACTTTCCAATCTTTGATAAAATCCCATCTACTAATAAAATGATGGTAGTTTTAATCAATTTGTGATTTGATTTGTATTTAAAACATGGAATATACTTTGAATCCTACCTTGGAATTATTGTCTTCCCTTGTTGATAGCCCACTTCCTATACTTACTCTCATGTTTAGTGATCCAGTGTCTCTTTGGATTTATGCTGTGATGATTTTCCAGATGTTAGGAATTTGAGTGAATTGAACTCTCTTTTTATTGCATTTTCTTTTACACTTATATAGTAGAGGAGCTATTGGAAAAAAAAAAATGTTTCAAATTCTATATGCTTGGAGGGAAGAAATAACAATATTTATACCGTCATTCTTTAAAATATTATAAACTTTATGTTAGATAGTTTTAATGTGGCCCAAGGAGATTTTTCCTCTTTTGTTACCTTGTCATTATACTTTATTTTTAGTTTTTTTTTCCTTTTGTAATATTTTACTTTTATATTAGATGGTTTGGTCACATAAGACGACGGCCTTCTGATGACCCGGTTAGGAGAGTAGAGGTATTAGATTTGACTTATGTTAAGAAAGGTAGAGACAGACCTAAAAAGACTTGGTTAGAAAATATTAGGAATGTGACATTTCTTTATTAGATTTAGACGATAATTTGATTTTTAATAGGACACAATGGAGGAAAAGGATTCATGTAGCCGACCCCACGTAGTAGTATAAAGGCTTGATGTTGTTGTTGTTGTTGTAATATTTTGCTATTGCTTCATATTGTACTCTTTTCACTGAATGATAAATCTCATTTTACTTATAAAAGGGGTCTTGGCTCGAATAATATATTCAATGGTTTCTATCCTAAGAGTTTTTTGGTACAAATTTCAATGAACACAACTATGATGAATTTCTCTAGATTCATATAAATTTAATACCTACAATTAATTTTGTGCCCAGCTTATATATATAATTGCCTTTTTTCCTACCTTATAGGGATAGATTTCTATCTGTTTAGAAAAAAAAACCACCAAAGGCTAATAAGGTTAACCTTAATTTGAGTTTACTTGACTAGTCCATATGAGTTGCATGATTAAGCCATAGCATGGGTCAACGTAAACAAATCATGATGGATCTATGCAATTGAGTCAACTCAATTGGATTATCCGAGCAACATATGCAGATGTGGATCAATGCAAATCATGATGGATCTACGCAATTGTGTCAACATGTGCATTGTTGATCTGAATTATCCAAACAGGAAGCCTCCTATTTATAAAAAAATAGTTTCAAATGGAGAAAGGTGTAAGTTAAAGTGCTAATCAATTCCAAATTTAACCATATAGTACAATTTTTCCAAAGCCAAATAAACATTTAAAATATTAATAAAATATTCCAAAATAATCAAAATAACCTTAAATATAAGTTTTTGCTGGCCTTTTTTTTGGGATTTTTTATTCCTAGAAGCTTATCTTCATCGTATGAAAATGATTGTATCACTTGAAATATTCCTCAAGCTCTTGGAAGCTTTTAAAATATAAATAGTTATTTCAATATGAAATAAATCAAATCATTGTTGACTTGATACGGAAGAGTTTGAACCCTGAATAAGGTTCTCAAAGTCATCCTTAATTTGAGTTATCATGAGTAACCTTGATGCTCCGTATAACCAAACTCTAACATGGGAACATATGCAGACCTTGATGATTTGCATGGCTAAGTCATGCTGGATCTACTGAATTAGCTTAAATGGACTGACTCAGATTTTGGAGAGCCTCCTAGATGATTGCTCCCCCTTTTGTGTCATTTGATCCTAAAACTTAGATTTGAAGGGGAGGAAACCTCCTCTAATCTTGATTCCATTACCTATTGCGTTTTCAGTTCCTTCTGCTATATAAGGGCTTCTGTATGTTAGTTGGCCAACCTGTGCAGCTGTTGAGAAAGAAGCCTTCTATTTATTAAAAAGTATGTTTAAATACGGAAGACAGAAGGTTAAGATGCTAATCTAAATATAATTTTCAATGCAAGCAAATAGGATAATCATCCAAAATCCTAAAGAAAATTCAAATACTGATAAAATATTCCAAAATTGTCCAGATAATCCTAAATATAAGTTGGTGCCTGGTCAAAACTGGTTTAATTAGGTTATTTTGGAATTTTTAAAATTTGTAAGTTTATCTTCTTACAATTAACCTATTCCCGTTTGTTTTCTTCACTATTTTGTCAACTAGATCGGTCATTGGAAACCACATTCTTATCACATATGCTGTAAGTAAAAATAAAATTGGTGATAACATTTCTTGTAGCATGAACTTGGGCTGCTTTCAATTTTGTTTCTTGGTTAATTTTTCTTTCTTCGGCAAGCTAGATCTTCACCAAATGAGATATTATGATCAACTATGGAAGATTCCATATATGAATATATCGGATAGCTGTTTGAAAATCTGTCACCATCATCAATAGCCTTACCCCAATTGTTTGGGATTAACTTTAAAAATCCTTCATGAAGCCGGCTGACAAATATTTTATTATTTTGTCATTTAGCGCAAGCTGTTTGAAAATCCATCACAATCATCAATAGCCTTACCCTAATTGTTTGGGATTAACTTCGAAAATCTCCCAAGAAGGCAACTGACAAATATTTCATAATAGTTTGTCTTGTTAGCAATCACCAGCCCCTCCTCCCCTCCACCCCCTACACCCTGAAGATTCATCCACAAGGGATTTTGCTTATCAAATCGCGTGCAATGGTTACAAGTATGCTCTTATAGCCTTATAGTGCTTTTGGAATTGTTGCTTACAGTTAGTGCTTAATTCCTTCTTTGTTTTCTATGACACATGAACAATATACTTTGCTAGATTTAAATTATCAGGTGATTATTTGCATCTATTTAGTTATAATGATATCCATAGATTGACGTCTAAATGGGCAAGGCAAAAGCGCTTGGAGTTGCTTGGCTTGATATGTGTTGACCTCTAACAGAGAGATCCAAGAGAAATAAAATAAAATTTTTTTCTCTTCCATACCTGCATGAGCCATGCATGAACTTGCGTCTTGTCTTCGCGTGCTTTGTCTCGACTAGTTCCCTGCCCTTGTTAAATATGACGCGAACAAAACTTCAATTCTCCTTCCTCTCGCTCACTTCTTCCAAGCCGAACTTCTGTCACTGCTTCTGATTCTTCAGAGCCAACCGATCTTCCCTAACCCTTTCCAACTCCCTTCCGACCCAACCCTCCTCATACTATTGAATCCTATACGGAAGCCTACCGATTTCCACACCCCAGCAAAACTCTCCACCTTTCGATCCTTGCCCAATCCTCCAGTCCACACACACACACATAGAGAGAGAGAGAGAGAGAGAGAGAGAGAGAGAACTTTCTCCTTACCTGAATCGCCTCTACTTCCATACCCGCCAAAACCCCTCTGTCATTGGCTTGCCTTTGCTCCGACTCCCCACCTCTTCAGTCCCTCTGCTACTGGTCGACTTTGCTTATTAAACAACATTCCCCTCCTGTTAGTTCGAAAGTTACAACATTTGATCGGAAGCAACGAAGGGAGCTCGCTAGCTATGAAGGTAACTTTCCTTTTCGCGCACTTCTTCAGCCTAATCTTGTAAATCCATTGAACCAGAGAAAGGAGAGGTAGAGATTTATTCTATTTTAATTATAATTATTAGTATTTATAATTAATTATAGTTAATAAATTAATTATAACTAATAATTATTATTAATTATAGTTAATTATTAATTAAGTATAAATATAATTAATTAGTAATTAAATAATAATTATAATTACCTGATTAATTATAATTAATTATAGTTTAATCATTAATTAATTATTATCACAATTAATTAACTAATTATAATTAATTGATACTTAGTAATTAATTATTAATCATAATTACTTGATTAATGATAAGTAGTTATTATTAATAATAGTTAATTATTAATTAATTGTAATTCTAATTAATTATTTATTTATTATAAATAGTTAATTAACTATAATTAATGATTATTAATTATAATTAATTATGATTAATTATAATTAATTGTTGTAAAAAAGAAATAATGCTTATCATTAATCAGATACGGCTGAAGTGTTTCCCTTTATCAATCGTGCATGTCTTTCTTGACGTGGCGGGCAGACTAAGACTCCTATAGTTTTCCCTAACTGGGGGAGACGTCCAGAGGTTGTCGAAATTTTTACTGAACATGGAACTTCATTTGGACTTGATTTGAATGAAAATGGACAAACACAAGAGGCTTAATTTAAACCTAAATAAACCACTAAAATCTTGAATTTGGATAATTAAAAAGGTATAAAACACAGAACTTGAATTTGCACATTGAAAGACAAAGACTTGGAACAAACAGGGGACTATATTTGGACTGAATTTGAACATCAAATGAACTAAATGAAAACTTGAACTGAACAAGACTATAGAAAACTTGGACTTTAACGAATTTTATGAAATCAAGCCTAAAATAAGGTGCAATGAGCCAAGCCTAATTCAAATGACAAGGCACTTGCAACGGTACTATAATTGCACTTGGACTTGAACAAACTGCAAAGGAACATATTTGAAACTTGTGAACCAAGGGACTACAAACACCACTCATTTACAGTTGATGATAAAATTGTAAAGAAACACCATCTAACAATATGGTGCCTTCCATAGGTTGCATTACTTGCATATGAATGACAACAATTGGTTTGCATCATTTATCTCAATCTTGCAATTAAGTGACTTAGAATTATTGCAGTGACTACAATGATATATAATAAGTGCGATAGCATCTCTACAACTAGTGTCAGCATGCAAACAAGCATATGGAACTACACCAATAATGAAAATTAAAAGGAATATAGTTCAATTGCATGCAAATGTATGAGACCCTTGGCAAGTATTCCACCCACAAGTGGTAATAGTTGACGTGTGACAATCATATCAATCACACAAATACACATAACAACTCATTCACAAGCAACTACAGGAGACTTGTGTGTGTTCATGAACGACAGTGAAATGCATATAAGTAAATACAGTAGTTTGTCATCATACAAATGAACCCAAGAGTCAGGCAATGAATGCTCCAACGTTCCTGACAAATGGCGTTGATCAATTAGAAAATGAAGGCTATAATCCCCTAAAATTACTAAAAGTTAACATGCGAGGGATAGTAACACATTGAACAGTGTGCTTGAGAAGGTCAATGATGAACGCAGCAACGCACTACAATCAACATCGAAATACAAGAAAATGTACCCGTTCTTGCAAGCAACAAAATTGATAAGGACAATCATGAATGTGCAACACTGCCTTATGAATAACAAAGTTGAAGATGATACAGTCAACACAACAATCATGTAAGAAGATGCGACAATCTTTACTACGTCCACTTAAGAGCACTAACGAAGGGATATAAATGGTAGAAGACAATACAACTTGTCCACAAATGACTATAGAAGATCCATCACACATAATACATGCAATAGATCTATGAACGACAAATGAACATGCAACATTCAAGCAATGATGGTAGGAGAGTTGCAGGTATGGTGGTACCTCTACAAAAATATGCAATGCAACATACGACAAATTTTTAGCACTTGCTGGCGATGAAGGAAGATTCTTCATAGGCATGGTAGTGGTAATCAACAGTAGGTGATGGATGCTACCACACCTCCACAAACAACCACCGTTCAGTGTCAAGTAAATACACTGGTTTCCTCAACAAGGGTGGTCGATGTGTAACAAATATAAGTACATGTCGAAATTTCTATGAGCTATTGTAGAAGATCCATTGTACACCCAATCTGTTGTCCACAAGCAGAATACAAAGTGAATACATCAAATATGAGTTCCTACGAACTATTATAGAAGACTTGTCATACACAAAATGTTATCTACAAACAAAATGTCAAATGACTACAGCAAATGCAAATACCTATGAACTGTCGTAAAGGACCTATCATGGTCACAGGTGCTATCCTCGAGCAAATAAAGAAGATCTTCAACAAGGGCAAACTCTTATGAGCCAAAGCAGGAGATTCATTAGTGTACTATAACCCACTTGTTGTAATAACCCATATTTTGATTTTGTCAAATTTTTTCTGGAGTCATTATAACTCCAAATAGCAAACTGTTTTCGTTATAGTTTTATTATTATAGTATTTTACTTGCACGAATTTTTTCGTAATTTTTGGGCACCAGAGAAAATCCTTGAGGTAGTACCTGTCGGTATAATTGAGGATTTTGGGACAGTCAGGTGTCTGTTTTCCAAACCGATTTCACCGATATTTTTTAAAATTAAGGATTTATTTTATGATTTTTTTTTTGTAATTTTTAAAGGCCTAAACTAATTTATTTGAAATTTTATTTTAAAAATTGATTAAATTAATTATATAATTTTATATTATTATCATATTCTAAAATATCTTAAGGCACTTAAAAAGTTTTTAAAAGCTTCCCTTATCATTTCGGCTAACATAGATATGAGTTGAGGATTCAGAAAGATTTGTGAGGATAGAGAAAAGGAAAATTTCGATTTCGAGGTTGCTGTGCAATTTTTGTCCATCAAGCCTGTTGGGATATTTGCTCGTCTCGCTGTAAGGAACTTTTACCCTATTTTTTATTTCAAAGATTTTGTGTTTTTTGTATTTTTCTGATCAAATTTATATTTTAGTTGCTGCAAAAAGTAAATAATTTTATATTGATAAAAATTTCATCGCGTAATTTAGGGCTGCAAGAAACCAAACGTTTGACAAGCTACTCGTTGTCCGGTTTGATTAAATCTTGTTTGTGATCGTTTAATTAACTAAACAAACAAGCTTGAAAAATATTTTGAATACTCGATATTTAAATAAACAAGCTTGAACACTACTGTGTTCGACTCTTTTATGTTCATGAACAACATCATTTAAAGCTCATGAACAAGTTCGATATTAAGCTCAATAAGAAGCTTGATAAAAGCTTAATTTATGTTCGATTCAGAACTCTTGAATAAGCTTGATAAAAACTCAATTAATATTTAATTATAAAATTTATAAATAAATAAAGAAATATATGAAATAAATATTTTATATCTATTATAACTTATTGATATAATTATTTTTAAATAATAAAATTTAAAGTAATTAAATATTATAGTATATGCTATTTAAAAAAAATCGCTAAGTATGTTCACGAGCATGCTTGATGTAATTATTTGTTAGGAGGCTCGATAAAGCTCATTTGTTAAGTTAATGAACATCTAGAAGTAGAGCTCGTTAAGGCTTGTTTGTTTAAAGCTCGATAAGTATTAAATAAATCAAACATGAATTGAACATGAACTAAACATGAACACTCATTAATTTAAACAAACCAAACATGAACACAAATAATAAAGCTCGAATCAAACATGAATCAAACTTTAAAATGCTGATAATAAATGAACTCAAACATGAACACTCACATACTCAGCTCGGCTCGATTCTTTTGCAGCCCTAACATAACTTTTTGTATGTTTTAGAGATTATGATTATAAGCATTTTGAGAATTTATTTGAGATTTTTCATTGTGTGATTTTGAAAATAAAATAATTTTTTTCTACCCAAAAATTTATTTTAAACTCTAAAAATAGTGTTCTACAATAAAAGTCTTAAAATATCATTTTATATATTCCCTGGTAATTTAGTAATTTTCTAAAAATGTGTGTTTTTTCCCAATAGGATTTTTTGTTGCATATCATTTTGTATTTTGGCATATTCTTAATTAAATTCAATTATGCATTATTTGTTGCAATGTATTAAAAATGAATGTGGATATATGATTAAAATTACTGTTATAGTACTATGATACCACTATGTGTGTAAAATACAAGTAAAGACTTGTTGATCTATTGGTTGGAGACTGATTGACCTGTACAGGATGGTTGGCCGACAAACCTTCCTTTAAATACTGTGGTTTGATGTTATCCTCTACTAATTCACATGATACATTGATTGAGAGTTATAAGGAGATTATTACTGTGCCGATGGACAAAGAGTGACAACTCTATTTATTGATCCAATGGTTTACTAATACTAATACTAATAATGAAAAACACCATGATAGCCAGGATTTCTTACTTGTTTAGTGTGACTACTGAAATACATTTTTTAAAATATTTTTCTTATTATTGTATGGATTTATTGTTACTGCACGAATTTACTATTATTGCATTATTCTACTGCTCTTGCCACTGAATTGTTATTGTTATTGATATAGATACTGATATTATTTGATACTACTGATTTATTGTATAATAAGCATGTGATATATTAAATATGTAAAATACTGATTTGATACTGATATATAATAATTGGATAGTGTGCGTACATTCCTATATGAGTTTATTATATTGATTTGATTTCAATAGCCTTTATTGATATTTTGATGTGATACTTTATATGATTTGTATACTAATTGATATTATGGATACGACGGTTCCTTTATAGATTTGCTACTCGTACTAGTTTACTGCTTTACTGGTTTTCATACTGTAGTGTTTTACTGGTTATATATTCTACTAGTGCTGCATGTAAATTTTATTATTTCTGCATTAATTTAATGATTATATGGATGTAATTGTTATGATTTGACTGTTGACATGCATATTGCTCATTTGTCGTGCTTGATTTCAATTGTAGGTTTTGGTAACCTGTTAAGCTTTGTAATCTTATTATATGTGGTTTTATATGTGGTTAAATGATTTTAGGGCAGGGGAGTAGGAGTGTGAGGCTTGTCAGGTTTTATTTCTTTTTGCTCTAGTTATTCTTTTTTACTAATGACAGAATAGTTATATGATGATGGTGTAGATCCTGAGTAGTATATATGATTTTTGGGAATGAATATAGATGTGAACATTAATGTTTTGAATTATAGAATCAGTTATTATTATTTATTATTGATTGATGATATTAGATAGATTTGATTGTTATTTATTAAAAAATAAGTGAATAATTCTTTCAAATTAGATCATGAGGCATCACATTTACAGAAAGCAACAAGTAGTGCATGAAAGTCTACTTGTACGAGACGGGAAAATGACCTTAGTGCTACGCAACGTCATCGAATCCGCAACATTCATACAAGCAGACATAAGATGTTTATGGGCTTCTATATAGTGTGTCGCGTACATTTAACTTACTATTATCTTTATAACTGAGCAGTGTTAAAATGTCCAAAATGCTCCCACACATGCACTATAATATGTATGCAAATAGGTACATAAAAATGGCTTGTGTAATCACACGACCCGCATGGGCCCCAGTGAACATGTTATATGTACACACGTGACGTTCAGGGATGCTGTGCGGGTTAATAAATAAAGCCAAGTTCGAGCTCGATTCTTCTATGTGGGCAGATAGGAGTCGACATGGCTCGAATCGAACCATTAAACAAATATACGGTCAAGACGTCGACCGAAATATCTATTTTATAGTTCATATAAGGCCATCAAGGTCTATGTCAAAAAAAAATTGTCAAAAAAAATTGTCAAAAAAAATATAAAGCTTATGGACCCAATTCTTTGTCGACCAATTGATAAACTCGACAAGGTCCAATCCATGACATTTCCAAATGCCCGTGCACGCTGATAATGACCGTGTTTAATGTTTATCTCAACCGGAGGGGATCCCGCCTTTTCAAGCCATCAAATTTTTACAAAATTCAAGTATTTTCAAATGACTCCATGTACCTCAATGATGGCCGCGTTGACAAGAAATCTCAACCATAGAGGTTTATTTTAAGTATCCAAAATTCACCCAAATGCCTAAGTGCCTACAAAATTCAAAATCTCCAAAATTCTTAAAATTTCAAATATTTAAAATTGAAATAATCCATCAATTCATTTAAAGTAAAATACATCCACCATCAACAACAATTTGCCGAGATGACCAAAATAAAGATCACTTTAGCTCTCAAAGAGCTAATATCTGGTCGAGAATATCACTTGAATTCATTCTCAAACAATCTCCTGCCAGCGTAGACGTGGCACGTGTCCTCTAACCGGCGGTTTTGCCGCCAAATGTCACTGTAGGTAAATGGTTATGATCGGGGCCCTCTGAACTGGGTGGTTCGCTGTCAATTGAATTACGGTTATGGCCAGAGTACTTATGCTCCCCAATGGCATCAAATCCTTTAGATATGAATTAATAAGATATAATCGATAGGGCACAAAGCCCTATGTTAGCTAAGGTGGATTCAAATTTATTCCCTTAGACAAATATCCACCTTAGGACTACAAGATACCCTTGGATGACGCAACTCATGGCTGTCGACAAGTATCCTGTTGTTAGGTTGGGTCGACTACCTCCTCTGACTAAGTAGACTAGGGACCACGATGGCCTGGGAGGACGGAGCTATGAGATCTTGATCGGGTCCATCATGCATTCCCCCACCATCTGCTTTAAGTGCAAAATGGTGAAATCTTCAATTTTAAATATCAAATTTCCAGACGCCCGAAACACATGCTGCTACTATATGCCTGATGCCATGTATTCTCTATGTATCTGTTTGACGACTAGCCTTAATCAAAAGTTATCTCTTGTTATCGGGAGGGGTAATTAACTATAGGGGCTTGAGCCCATAGGAAACTAGAACTCAAATAATAAAGTCCTCGCAAAATGAGGGTAAAATTTCTGGATAGTGTCTTATCTACAGACCATATGCCTTCCAAAAATTTGCCCGGAACTTAATCCGTTCAAAACTCCCCCGAAAAGTAGCGGGGGAGGCTGGGGCCGAATTTTCAGAGCTCACAATATGTTTAAAACATCTGTAAGATTGTCTGATGTTATTTAACAGATGTGTAGTAATGTGCATGGTTAACTTTTCTGCAAGTCTTTTTTCATAATTTTTCTATGGTTTGATAGGTTTAAACGCATTTGGAAGGTTACCTGATGTTATTTAGGTGACAAATATGTTAAGTAATATGCATATGCGTGGTGAACTTTTCTTAAACAAGTTTCTTCTCATAATTTTTTTCATGTGGTTTCCTTTTATGGCCTAACAAAGGCCAACTTATCATTGCTTTTTTTTTCTTTACATATTTCTGTATATTTAATTTACAATTTTTTCTTCTTTTTAAAAGTTGCATAAGCTTAAACACGATTGGCACAGCCTTAGCGTTGAGTAGATTAGTTGTTTTTCTTAAACAACTTTCTTGAAGTAACTTGAAACTATTTGTTGTTCTAGATTAATTAGTCATATACAGTGCCTAAACCAACGAAGCATGTTGATAGACTTGTTCCTTTTCCTTCACATTATACCTTAGCAACCAGGACCACGCTAAGTCCAATTTTCTTCTCTTGATTAATTTATTAATATTGTAACATAATTAAAATCCTTGTCTTGTAGTGCAAAAAGAAAACTTTCTGCTTTTGATTTATTTACAGTTTTCATAGGATACATTATAGCTACGGAATTTAAAGCCTTCACATCCATTATCTTATATCTATATGTCATTGTTGACGCCAAGCTATGTAGATTTCAAATATTTAAATTACTTTCATTTTTCTTATCTCGTACTTTCAGCGTTCTTGTTCCTGATTTGTTTCGTGGGGATCCGTGGAAGAAAAGGCAGCCTAAAGCTGACTTTGAAAATTGGCTTGGTAGACAACAGACTGAAAGGGTAGCTAAGGATATAGAATTATCGACCAAATGGATGGTTGATGAATTAGCTGCTGCAGGGATATCCAAGAAACTTGGCCTTATTGGATTTGGTTTTGGTGGTGAACATTTGATAGAAACATTAGCTAAGAACAACTATTTTGGAACTGGTGTTTGGTTTTATGGGACAACAATCAGCACATCCGTAGCTGAAGATATAAATGTTCCAGTCCTTTTTATCTGTGGGGACGGCGACCCTATTTGTCCCGTAAGTTTAGTATCAGAGATGGAGAAGATGATCAAGGGCTCAAGAGCTGTAATATATTCAGGAAGAGGTCATGGATTTGCTCATCGCCCAGAAACTCAGGAAGAAGATAGAGATGCTGAGGATGCCTTCAATGTCTTGAAAAATTGGCTGAAAGATCGCTTGATTTTGGATGAGGATAACGCTGTAGTCAGCAAACTGTTTGTTTAATTTTTTTATAATTTATGTGGACTATATCCCTCTTATTTATTATATTCGTCTTTGAAAGTGTGATGGCGATTAGAATAATGGATGAAGCTTGTAACGAGCCATAAGCTATGTAGATTATGTTTTGAAGATTTCTCCGGCTTTCATTCATCTGTGTTGAATTCGGCACAAAAATACTCCTTTCTCATGAAGGAACTACTTAAGCTGGAGCTCTTGTGGCAGTCCAGGTCAGAACCTCTTTCGATAGATGAAGCTGGAATTAATTGCGAGTCAGCTTGGGTGATGTAAGCCACTGTGATCTTTGGAATACTTTTTTTTGTTTTAATTTTCAGAATTCTTTAGGATGATTAATACATTTTTTTAACTAAGACTTTGTACATTCTTACTACTTTTTTAAACAGTTTTTTTAGTTCGAAAATATCTAAATCTAAAAATTTTTGCACTAGAAAACTTTATTAAAAAATAGTAAGAAAGTTATCTCAAACGAAGTCTAAATTATGATACCACAACAACAACAATATCAAGGCTTTGTCCCACAATGTGGGTTTGGCTATATGAATTCTTTTTCTCCATTGTGTTATGTTAAAAATCAAATTTTCGTTTAAATCTAATAAAGAACATTTCTAATATTTTCTAACAAAGTCATTTTAGGTCTAATTTATTTTTTAAACATAAGTTAAATCTAATACATCGTTTTTTCTATTCAAGTCATTGGAAGGTCGTCATTTTATGTGACCAAACCATCTAAGGTGACTCTCTCATCTTATCTTCCACTCTCTAATCTTATCTTCCATTAGAGCTACTCCAACCTTTTCATGTATAAGTTAATTTTGTATTTTATCTCTAAGTGTAAAATCACTCATCCACCTGAGCATTCCCATCTCTGCAACACATTATAAAATCTAAAATGTGATTGTTAAAAAAGTTATTGGCCAATTTATTATCTTAGAGAGAATTTTTTGATATCCATGACCTTCAAAAAAATAAATAAAAAAATTCGTATTAGCTATAGGATTCGGTTGATAAAATGTGAACACCTGATGTTTTTCCCTAGTTTGTTGGAATATCTCTGGCGGAAGAGGGTTGAATAAGAATATGCATTTGCCAACTCAGTCTTATGGATAAAATGTTTATTCTTCTAAGAAATGAATTGTTGATTCCATTTAATTAGATTTTGATGCTAAGATTTTTAAACATAAAATTAAAATTATTTATTCGATATCATTAAAAATTAATGATATGCATGGTATCAAGTATTTTTTTATATGTTTTAATTACTGATCAGCTTCATTAAAAATAATGTTTTAATTTTTTTTTCTAATTTTTATATTTTTAATTAATTTCTTTAGTACAAAAATAGCTTGTTGACAACATATAATTTATAAAAAAATTAAGAAAATATTATTAAAAAAATTGACTTCATTTTATATATAATATTAAGGTTGTAAAAATCGGAACGGACAAGTAATCGAAAAGAGAGATTCACGATTCTATGATTAAAATGGGGTCGAATCATAGTTGAATTGGATGACGTAATAAATACTAATTATATTAAAAAATAATTAATTTACATACTAAGGAACCAATAACTTGCAAAAATATAATAAAGAAATTAACATAATCATAATATGAAGTTTGAAATATAAAAATAAATAAATGCAATAATTTAAAAATAAATATTCATTTAACCTCTTTATAGTTGTAACTTGAATGATTAAATACAAATTTTTTCATAACATCTTGTAATTTCTTCCTCTAATTGACAAAACTCTGAAAAATAAAAGAGATATAAGATTATTGTTAGGACGATTCTATAATTATATAGAAAAAAATGAGCAGGATGCATTAATTAATTACACGTGAAAAGAACAAAACTTATAGGAACAGAAAGTTCTGCTTTGCTATGACACAATCAGCTCCAACAGATCTACAAATAAAAACAAAAGATACCTGCATTTTTTATATTTTCCTTTTTGGAATCTATGACACTATCAACTCCAATAGATATCATAAGTTCAGCTTTGCCTTCACCACCACAAGTCACAACAACCTTATTTCCAGCTACTTTTACCAACTAAGAAGCCAAAACAAAGATCAATAAATTGGACTAGGTTGAATCAGAATGAAACAAATTATCAAAAATATTTTTGACACAGAACTACATGCTTATGTACATGTTTGATGATATACTCATTACTTGGAATGATCCGGTTTTCAATTCATCTGTTATTCAAAAACTTCAACTAAAGTTTCAAACTCGTAATCTTGGACAGCTCTCTCGCTTCCTTGGCATTGATTTCACTCGGTTCCCTACTGGTTACCATCTGTCACAGAAACCATACTCTCAAGACCTTCTCTCCATTGCTGCCACGACTAATTGAAAATCTTTAGCCACTCCCCTACCAACTAAAATACCAACGGACACCTCCCTTCAGTTACCGTTCATCCAACCTGCCTTATTCCGTTAGTTGGCTGGTTCTTTACAATATTTATCATCCACAAGACCGTATATTGCTTTTGTAGTAAACAAATTGCATCAGCGTATGCAACAACCATAGCTCCATTATCAACTATTGAAACGAGTTCTTTGCTACTTGCAAGGGACACTTGACTACAACCTCTTCTTACAAAAAATAGAGCTCAAACTTACTTTTTTTTATTCAGACTGGGCTGGCGACCACCAAGATCACAAATCCACCACGGGTTACTGTATTTATCTAGGACAAGCTCTCATGACTTGGTTCGTAAAAAAATAGTCCATTGTTGCAAGATCTTCCATGGAGGCTGAATATTGTTCGCTCCCTATAGTTGCAGCCGATTTGATTTGGCTCCGTCGCCTCTGCTAGGACTTCCGCATACCACTTGATACAACCCCCATATATTGTGACAATGTATCAGCAATATCTATAACATCCAACCGGTCTTCCATGCTCGCAAAAATCATATCGAAATCGACTATTATTTTGTTCGTGATTGCATCCAAGCTAAGCACCTTGTTGTCTACCATGTCTTGACACTTGATCAAGTTGCAGATGTCTTTACCAAGCCACTTCATTCCACAAGATTGCAGCTTCTCTGCAACATGTTAATGGTTATTCTGCCCATTAACTTGAGGGACGGTGACAAGCATAATGAAGTTTAATCTCCACTACAATCTACTTATGCTCACCTTCTGGAATAGCCGCCTTCTTTTCTGTTTCTGTTACAACCTTTTGCACTTTATGTAACTATCTAAGGGTAGCTTAGTACTTTATTTACTTGCTTTTTGTGTATATATTAACCATCCATTGCTATAGTAAAATAATGAAGAGAGATTGGTTTATCACTTTCGTGTACTTGCTATGTTGGTTACTGTTTATCTTTTTTTTTCTTGTTTGATGAAACAATCTCAGCTCGACGTACCTTCAAATTCTACATGACAAGCATAATGAAGTTTAATCTCCACTGCTATCTACTTCTGCTCACCTTCTAGAATAGCTTCCTTCTTTTCTATATATGTTACATCATTTTGTACTTTATGTAACTATTTAAGGGTAGCTTAGTACTTATTTACTTGATTTTGTGTATATATTATCCAACCATTGCTACAGTAAAATCATGAAGAGAGAATGGTTTATCACTTTCATCTACTTGCTCTGTTGGTTATTGTTCATCTTATTTTTCTTGTTTGATGAAATAATCTCAGCTGGCTGTATCTTCGAATTCTACATGGTATCAGAGCTGTCTGCCTAATGGCTCTTCTACTTGACCTTGATGGGAGATTCTACTGCTGCCTTAGCACCCTACACTCCTCTGGGATTGACAACAAAGAAACTATAGTTTCTACCGATATTACAATCCCTCCCACCCTTAAATTCTTGCTTCCTAACATTAAGAATGTTATTAATGTGCAACTTGTTAAATCTAGTAATTAGGTTGTTAAGCCTAAGTGAGTGTCCCAAGGCTACCAAGAGGGGGGGGGGTGAATTGGTGGTTTAAAAAATTAAAATTTAAGACCCCTTTTTAATTTTGTAGAAAAAGATTTTTCAACCACAGAGTTTTTAAAACTGAAATAGAAAGTGCGGAAATGTAAAAAACAGTAAAGTAAATGACACCAGATTTATAGTGGTTCGGTCTATAACCAGACCTACATCCACTCCCCAGAGGCACCCTCTAAGTATTGCACTAATACCAATAGTGACTCTCCTTTTGCACCCACAGCAAGGCGGAGAAGCCTTTACAACACACTCTTTTCACCACTCCCCGGTGCGGCAGAGAACCGTCCGTCCTTTTACACAATACCCAGTGTTGGGAGATAACCGTCCGTCCTTTCACACTCTCCTAGTGTGGGCAGAGAACCCTTCGTCCTTTCACACTCTTCTAGTGTGGGCAGAGAACCCTTCGTCCTTTCACACTCTCCTAGTGTGGGCAGAGAACCCTTCGTCCTTTCACACTCTCCTAGTGTGGGCAGAGAACCCTTCGGCTGTTTACACTCTCCAAGTGTAAGAAAAGAGAGGATATTTTATAGATGAGCATTGTATGTGAGTAATTAATTTCTGTGTGACGATAGACTTAGAAAATTTTTCGAGCAAGTTCCTATTCGTTCCATATGCCTCTATAGGAGATAACTGTCTGATCGTCCAGTACGAACGAAAATCGTCCTGTACGATCAATACAAAATTAATATGATCTCCTTATTTGTGTGTGCATGTTTTTATTCACTCAAGTTACAATACTCCCTTTAATTTGATTTCTAAGCAAAGTGCAAGCTTCAAAAATTTCAAGGTATCTCATGCTGATTTTAATTTGAAGCCTTCGTAGTCTGGAGTTTTCCCTGAATGTTTAGTACCACAAGAGCAAATACAATTCTTCCAAATTGTTAGGAGATAACTACAACATTTGAACAATAATGTTTGAAATCATAAAACTTTATAAGTTGTCAAATGATAATGCATGCAATAGCAACATATCTTAACCACAACTCCCTCTCAGACAACCACCCTACATGACGTTCGGAGGATCCAAAGCTCTTCGCCTCCAACAACTTCTCTGAGTCCTTGACCGGTAGTCATCCTTGTCCACCAAAACACCTCCTAACTGCACTGAACAACTTACTATCAACCCCAACTTTCTTCTTGGACTTCTGTGGACCAAAATCTCTAAGTAGTTCA